AAGGAAGGAAGGAAGGAAGGAAGGAAGGAAGGAAGGAAGGAAGGAAGGAAGGAAGTCTTCTCATCAACTCATACAGGGAATAAAATCCAGCCCCTTTAATGGCTCAATCTAGCAAATGTCTGTACAGATTAGTAGCATAACATTAAAAATCAATTTTAAAAACCAGATGAAAAAGTTTTCAATTTTTTTAAAAAATGTGCTTATCTTGAGATTTTAACAGATGACTTTCAAAGGTTCCATATTTCTTGACTGGATTTGAGCTGAATCTTTTATTATAAAGCCATGTCTTAAACAAACAAATAGGTGAGGGTTCTTCGAACAAAATTACTGAGCAGGTGATCAATTAGTGTTTTGACTTGCTGATAAATCATAAAATAAGGATGCTTCAGGATTCCTACTGAGGCAATAAATCATGTATTGCTTGACTACAGTAGCAACATCGTTATGTGGAAGGCATCGAGAATTCTCATTGTGTGCATATTCATCTCATAGTGGTTCCTGAAATTTGACACCAGAGAGGATGCACAGGTCATGAAGTTCAACTGCTATACAATTAAGATAGAGGTGAACAGCAAAATATGTGTATTAGGACAATGTTTGCACAGGAACACATTAAGAAAAATGCTTTTTCAAAGCATGCATGCCAAGAAAATTGCATATCAAGTGAGCATATATGGGGAAATACTCATAAGTACAAATTTTTGAGAAGACTCCTCCCCCCCCCCCAAATTTACAAATTGATGTGGAAATGGTTTGAAATCATGGTTACAACAAAGAAAAACTAAGCCAAACTGAAACTCACAGATTTGCCCATCTCTATAAGTAGGAATGCTGATAGAATTCTCCTTTACATTTCAGATACAGAAAAAGTGTGGCACCTAAGAAACTAAGAGAATAGAACAATCATAAGAGAACAAAACTCAGGAAAATGGATGATCCGTGATGATGACGATAGATGAACCAGAATCTGTCAGTATGAAGAGCCAGGAAGAGTTTCTAAAAGTGATGAAGAATATTTAATCATGCAGAGCAAAGGTTTTGCAAATATTTCATTGCTTAGGGTTGGCGTAAGGCAGCGTTTCTCAACCTCAGCAATGTTAAGATATGTGGACTTCAACTCCCGGAATTCTGGGAGTTGAAGTCCATACATCTTAAAGTTCCTGAGATTGAGAAGCACAGGCTTAAGGTTTTCCAAAAGCAGCATAATTTAGGATCATTTTGGCAGTGCTTGTCTTTCCTATGTATAGGGCAGTGATGTTTACAGCTGAACAAGCTAGAGTACTCTCGGATAAATGGGATATTCCTTCAATTGGTAGATAGACTATATCTAAAATCATAGTGGGCCTTAAGCCTGCTCCTCTAGGCACTGATTGTTCAGTGACTATCCATAATAGCAAA